CCAAACTTCATGAAGCATCACGCCTGTTGCTGCTGCGCAGGTGGAATATATGGCACATCCGCATTAGTTCTGATTGTGTGGTGAGGAAAAAGCTGATTTGTTCTTCCCTCTTACAGTATTTGAATCAAAAATGTGATCTGTTCAAAAAGCTTGGGCAGTGACTTAGTTGTTTTATCTGAAAATATGTGAAATGGTATAAAATGATGCCTTACAGTTTTTGCTTGCTTTCTATGTGAGAGTTGCAGATAGCTTATAGCAAACAGAAAAAACTTTGTTAGAAGCAAAATAAATTAGTGTATTTGCTGCTCTTTCTGAATTCAGTGACGAGATCAAAGTCCCACCGGTATTTTATTTATCGCAAAAGGTTCAGCCACGTGGAACTTCTGTAAACCTCTTGATCATCTTTCTTGTAATACCAGATCGTTCTGCACTTTGCAACAGGTTGGTTCTCTTTTAACACCAGCAGTAGATCTATAGTGTTAGATCACAAAGCTAATTTTGCAGTTTAATCTCTTTTGCACAGTTGCTAAAATGCCAGCACCTATGGATTGCAGATAGTGAAAATTATTCATTAGTATTTCTGAAATGTTTTTGAAGAAATACAATGGTATTAAAAATTAAATTGAATAAGCAATGAAACTGAGTTTACTCAAGCTAATAGTTTCTGGATCTGTGGCAGGATTATCTGATTGTTTCCTCTGTTTTCATATTTTTAGAAATGGCAAAAAGCCCTCTTCTCCCACATTTAAATAGTAATGATCTGCAAAGTCTCTGTGTGTTTTTAATATGTTCTTACAAGTCAGCTTGCTATTTGCAAGGATATTTTGTTTCTTACTGATGTTTCTGGTATTGAATTTATAGTGCTATTAATTATATGCAGTCCATTAAAGATGATTGTCATGAGATGGCTCAAAGAGCATATATTGCACTTATTTCCAGGGGCTTTTGTGAGCGGTTATGTTCATGATCCCATGGCACTGTCTTCAAAGTGCAGCCTTTTGTTCCCAGATGACTGCAGTGTAGAGAAGTGAGAGTAGCTGCTTCTCAGTGTAACACTGTTAATGTTGAATTTCACCTGGGACCTGCTGCTTCGAGCAACACTCTTATGCAGTGTGAATGTCTGTTGTATGTTTTTAGTTTTGTTTTGGGTTGGTTTTTTTTTCCCCTAGAAGTTGACTTGCAGGACTGTGTGATGTATATAATTATAACATGCTCTGGAATAGTTTCATGGTAAGAGTTCCTACAGAAATTACTCAGGTTTGTCAGTTTATGTGAAATTGCTTTTCACACAATGATTATTTGTCACTCAATTAGCTCATACTATATACACCTTCTTTCTGGGGTCTGTTACCATAAAGTTTGCATAAATCTGCCCTTACAGTAAACAGAGGTTGAAAATTGGAATACCACAGTAGCTCTAGTAAAGTCTAAGTTGACTTGAATAAAATACAACATAATTATTTTGACATCTTCTGTGTTTTATCCCATTTTTAGCTGCAAGCCTTTGTATCAGAAGGCAAAGATCTGAAGGGATGATGCATCATCAGCTAGGCCTTTTATTTTTTTTGCTGTAAAAGCTGCATTAAATTATGAGTCTTGCTGACTTTTGTGTATTGCTATAACCTTAGGAAGCGAATTTGTGTGATAGCAGGTGTTTGTATGTAGGGGATTCTAATTTTAACTGGCTCTAAATGAAGAAAGCTTGTCCTAGTTTTTCCTGAAAGTACTTTTGGGAATAAATGTATGTTTGAATTTTAAGATTTTTGTATGGAAAAGAATTGACTTAATATGAAAAAATTAATAGTAAGGATTAAGTTGTGAGATAGGTATGATTCTTCAGTATAAAATATATATCTTTATTTATAATGCTGTTTTATGCTAATTAAACTGGAATAATGGTACAGTGCTGCTACTACACTGAAGTTGTAAGGGTTACTTGCAGTTTTAACAGTCATAGTTTATGTTTTTTATTACTAAAATATTGTTTTCTTTTCAACTAAAAAGGCTTTGTGAAGCACTCCAGAAATTGGTGTTGTTTAGTGAAATAATGCTAATGAGAAAAGGAACAAAACAAAAGAAAAAATAATATTTTTCTAACTCAGAATTTTTAAGGCAAACTTCAGCTTTGTAGTGTTTCTGCTGCTTTCTGCTGAGCCTGTGGTTATGGAGCATTTTTCATACACAACAGCGCAAGACTCAGCCAGCTTTCAGTCCACCTTCTCTCTTCTCAAGTCGTTCAACTTCTTTTTCACCAGAGCTCATGACAGGCTAAGCACTGAGTTTAAATTGCTTGGTTGGTAGCTCTTACTTAGCCAGCCTTTTCTTCCTCAGCAGTTCTTGAGGAATATTTTGATTTTTATATATATATATATATATATATATTCCTCTATCTTTGCAGTGGTCTTTGCCCATAGCTCTTTTCTGATCTATGTTATGAAGTGTTAATTTTTTGGGGGGTTTTTTCTACATTTCTTGATGCATTTTCAAATGGTAAAACTTAAAAAGCAACTGCTTGTGCTCTGGGTTTGTGCTTTTTGTGTTTGTTTTTTTTTTTTGTTGGCTTTAAATCTTAAGAGCAAATGCTTGCCTGATGTATTGTAGCTTTAAAAAAAACAACCTTAGAGCTTATCCATTGGTTTAGAATAAGTGCTGGCTGATAAAGACAGAAAGTTTTCATGACAATTAAAATGTAGTATACCATAGTTAAACTTTACAGAGAATTATTAATGTTACAGAATATTTAGAACGTCAGCTCTGTTAGCTGGAAGATGTGTTAGTGTTTGGTCTTATGTTAGAGCCTGAAGAGACTTTATGAAATGTCTTTATCTCTCCATAATTTCTTGCTTCTGGCTGAAGACAGATACACAGTGAAATAACAGGCATGTGCAGTGGTTGAATTTGTGCGTCTTTGGATGTATCACTCAAGGAGAAGTTTGAGTTTAGAGTTAGTACTCTCAGATACTGATACTTGAATAATGGTTTGAGGGTTTTTCTTGGCATTTTCTTGAATAATGTAAAAAAACCTTAAAATAAAAACTTTTCCTCATTTCCTTAAGACTTTAGAAACTAGTCAAGTCAATAACTCCAGCAAAATAGAAACAACCTACAAAATAAGAGCAGGAAGATGGAATTACCTTTCTTGCACTGGTGGATGAAGTTGATAGTGGTGATCAGGCACAGGCTGACGTTCTTCCTTCCTGAGCAGGGACTGGTGCTGGAAATCTGAGGTCAGCTTGGAACAACTTGATTCATAGAATCATAGAGTGGTCTGGGTTGGAAGGGACCTTAAAGATCATCCAGTTCCAACCCCCCTGCCATCAGCAGGGACACCTTCCACTAGACCAGGTTGCTCAAAGTCTCATCCAACCTGGCCTTCAACACTGCCAGATTAAATGCACAGTATCAACTTAGGACATAACCTCCCTAATTATCAGTGAGAGATGTACAGACTTGTTTTACTTGTTTTCATGGGGATTTCTTGGTAAAATGCAAGAATCATCACCATATGAAGTTTGATAAGGCTTAATACTTGCTACCTAGAACAAAAATAGAGGGAGGAAAAGCAACTAGAATACAGGTGGCATGAAAACTGAAGTCTTGTACCAACCATTCAAACTGTTTTAAGTTCTGGTTGTTGAGTTTCTGAATGTTAGCAAGCTCTTGAAAATCCTGTTTTGCAATAAAATTTTACACCCAAACAAAATTAATTCAACAAAATGGAGTTTTAAATAGCTTGATTGGTTTAAAAAGGCTGGAACTTGATGACAGTATGCTTCCTGAAGCTACTTTAGCAAGGTTCCAGCACACATGGGTGAAGTAGATAAACATTTTTAGTCCATTTCTTAATGTTCCATGAAAGAGCGGAAAGTATTCTCTTTATTTGCAAAATCAAGCTATTAAATAAGAGATGGAGTTTCAGTGACTTGCAGAGGCATTCAGGAGTCTCTGACAAAGAGGAAGCTGAATCTCCCGGTATGTAGTGCACTGCCTTGTTTGCAAGGCCATCTTTTCATCCTACAGATATTACTTTGTCCTGTGCTGAAGTTAATTTACAATGTTGGTAGCAAACACTGCAAAAAAAAAAAAAAAACCAAAACAGAAAGAATTCATATGTAAAGATTTATTATTATTTTTTTTTTAAATCAATATGTCCCAGGAGGAAAGAATGTCATTTCCCACCACAGTTTGGCTGGAACAGCAGGACTCTATTCCTTTTCATTACCAAAACCTTCAAGTGGTCTTGAATGTTTTTGTTTCACAGTGGTCTGTAGTCCATTGAAGTTGACTTGACTTAAATGACTTGTATAAAAGCAGGTATATTGCTGGCTATAGGTGGGTTGCATATCAAGAATCTGAGCCCCAAAACACTATAAAAGAAAATGGTAGCAACTTTTAACCTGCAAAAATACTTCAAGAAGATCTGTAGTTGGTATCTGATGTAAAATCTTACAGGGTGAGATGGCTGCAAGTATTATTGTTGTATCTTTAGAATAATCAAGACAGCCTTTGCATATATGTTTAATATTCAGGAAGCAAATTAATTGCAGATCTTGCTTTAGAAGATCCATTGTCACGGTGAGCAGAGTGCAGTAACAGACTTTATGCAGAATACACGAGAACTACCCTTTGGTTCATCCATGAACTTTACATCGTGAACTATTTGTGAAACTTTGCACAGTATTTTGCTGTTACTTCTCCTGTTGGTTCAGCCACCCTAGTGCATGAGTGAGCAAGAAGAGGCCATTTGGGTTTTGCATTCCAAGATTTAACAATTAACTCCCTTGATTGTGACTCAGAATTCCAGACTGGGAAGATAATGATTACAAATGAGAAATGTTAAATGATCTGATGATGGATCTCTCTATTTCTTTTGTTTTCATTTATATTATTGCCAATTTTTTGGTTGTTTTTAAAATAATTTTATTATTTCTGATATAATTTCCTTGAAAAATACTGATACATATTTCCTTCTTGCCAGGTATAACGTCTTGTAATGGAAGATGGAAGACAAAGGGGCTCGTGTTGCTGACTACTTTGTTGTCGCGGGATTAACAGATATTTCAAAACCACTAGAGGAAGAAATCCACTTCAATGATGCTTGCCATAAAATCGCTAAACCAAAAGAACCTATTACAGACGTAACAGTAATTAATAAATCCCTGGGGGAGGAAGTTCCTCAGGGCTATAAATGCATAGATGTTACTCCCTCAGGACTGTCTGCAGATCTCAATAATGGCAGTCTTGTAGGACCGCAAATATACCTTTGTTATCGCCGAGGAAGGGATAAGCCCCCACTTACTGATCTGGGGTGAGTGGTTTTTTTGTTCCATTGGATGATTTTGCCAGTTTTGTTTGACTAATGAGCAAATAAAGCAGGTTTATTGAAATATCATACTGTTAAAATATAAGGCAAAACTCTAAACAGGAAGATATTTGTTGTCTTGAGCATGCTGTAACCCAGTATGGTAGGAAAAATACTTGCTGGATTTTAGTGACAACTGTAAACCTTTGCATTTTGGAGTTTTCAAAGCCATTTATAATTTTCAGTGTATAGATTTTGGTTGAGATAAGATGCTTAACCTATTTAATACAGTTGGAAAGAGGCGAGTTGTGTGACGTTCTTAGGATCAGGCAATGATTCTTTAGTAGAATTGAAAATAACACTATTCTGCAGTGAAGAAAATACTTAAAAGTAAATTACAAGTGTGGAAAACTGGTATAGTTTAATCATAAAACTTTTCTGTTAGGATGTGACCTGAACTTGTCAGTAAGAATGTTTTGATCAGAAATGAGACAAGAGCTGTTAAACTAGTACTACTCACTTATAATTCTTAGTATAGTATTAGTATTCAAAGTGGGGTTTTTTAAAAATTATGTGCCTTCTGACTTTTGTTCATCCTATTTAACTAGGGTTTTATATGATGGCAAAGAAAGAGTAAAGCAAGGTTGTGAAATAATTCAAACTACTCCATATGGTCGACCTGCTAACATTAGCGGCAGTGCCTCATCGCAGAGAGTGTACATCACTTACCGGAGAGCATCCGAAAGCATGACACAAAACACGCTGGCTGTCACGGATATCTGTATAATCATACCAAGTAAAGGAGAAACCCCTCCACATACGTTCTGCAAGGTTGACAAGAATCTTAATAATAGTATGGTAAGACTGAAAATCTGGATTTTTGAATGCTTGATATAGAATCATAGAATGGTTTGGATTGGAAGGGACCTTAAAGCTCGTCCAGTTCCAACCCCCCTGCCATCAGCAGGGACACCTTCCACTAGACCAGGTTGCTCAAAGCCTCATCCAGCCTGGCCTTCAACACTTCCAGGGAGGAGCAGCCACAGCTCCTCTGGGCAACCTGTTCCAGTGTCTGACCACCCTCACAGTGAAGAACTTCTTCCTAATATCTAATCTAAACCTCCCCTCTTTCAGCTTAAACCCATTTCCCCTATTCGGTGGTGTAATGTTTGTGGAGCATTTGTGACAATTCTCAGAGTACTGGTGAAAAATTTTGGTAAGCCCTCTCCAAAGATAAATCAAATCTTGGAAGAGCTGGTGGATTCCATTTTGTTGTTCCTGATTTGAACAAAGTCTTTTTGGCAGTCTGGGAGCAAATGGTCTTTTTAGTGCTGACTTCAGCAGCTTTGGATTAGTCCTTAGAACCTGTTGTGTCACCATCTGTGTAACTGGAGGTTTTACAGACATGGCTGTGTTTGACACTGATTTTACTGTTGCAATGGCAATTCTGTATCTAACAACCACCTTCTCTTTTGTTTTTAAACTCTCCCATTACCTACAATGCTATTTTGTAAGTGTCATTCTCCTCAGTAGTTTTAGTTTCAAAAACTTCTCCTCTGAAGAGAGTTACATATAGGTGATGTTGGATACTGTTGACTGTAAACTTCTTTAAATGCTCAATATGGTTCTGTTGCCATTGTCAGAAAGAATAGCATAGCAGCCCCAAAATTCCTGTATCTTAGTGCTCTATGTTTTTGTGTGTAGATTATGGTTCTTCTTAAACAAGGAAGAGGAGGTTTTCCTCCATTCATTTCTGTTATGTCCTTTTATTATATTCTTCTCACATAA